AATGGCCAAAAAGCCGCCATCAACCCGCCAAGTGTGGAGGCCGAAGCAGCCTCCAACCAAAGTTCAACCCCCGGCAAAACAACCCATATCTTCGATAATTCCAATAGCTTCTCCGGGAGATCATGCAGAATCGTCCCGAAGGAAGAAATCAGTTTTGGAGCGCCTCGGTCCAATTCCCGACGAGAGAGGCAAAGCTCCAATTCAAGAGAGTTTGGGCCCAATGAAGAAGCCCAGAACGACTCAACACGCTGGGGGTCGCCGTCATCTCCAACGTGATAAAGAAATCAGGGCAGCTATGCGCACCAATTTGCGCATTGAAGTCCAAGAGCCCACTGAGAACTCACGCCCAAAAAGGCATATTTCGAGGCGCGTAACTTTTGAAAGCCTGAAGAAGGTAGTTCGCTCTCAGAAGGAAACGTTATCGTCTGAGGATGATTACGTTATACCTGAGAAATCGTGCCAACACACGATAGGTTGCTCCGACTTTCAAACGGACGAGCTATACTATCGTGCTGGGGGTACGAGCAAAACCAGAAAGAGAAGTCCTCGAAGGCTAGAAACTCAGTGCCCTTGTTCAAAGCTCATTCGGGCGGTACTGTCTGAGTGCAACTGCATCAAGGCAGTCACCGAGAGAGTTTCGGTGTTCGAAAGGCTTAGTATCGAAGCACCAAAACCAAGGCATAGGCGTTTCCGGCAAAGAAGAACGGTGGTTGAAGATGGAGAATTTCCGAGGGTCACCACCAATATGACCAGTAAAAGGGCATCGACAAGGGATAATCCCGAGTCAATTCCGCCGATACCCCAGTATCTAGCTCGTCTGAGGTCTGGAGCCATCATACGAGGAACTTATGGTAGGGTTCGGACAAGGTTACCATCAGAAGATGAAGAATCAGATTCTTGCTCTGCTATCGCATCAGACAATACGGTGTCCAGCGAAGGACAACCCCACGAGTCATTCATGATAAGCGTGGAACAAGTGGCCAAGATGCTCGAAGAAGCCATGGCTAAACAACAGGAGACCTTCAGGTTCGAAATGTAGATGGCCATGCAGAAGCAGAAGTCTTCGGAGCCGAGGTTTCCTAAAGTGTACTCTTTCAAAGATGATGAAGTTCCTGGCATCTTTAAGTACCTGTTGGAGAACAACGAAATCCAATTGCCGGAGATTGTGGATCAAGAAGGGGCTAGCAAAGTGACGGATCCGAAGTATTGCGCATACCATAGAGCGGTCCATCACCCTACGAAGTCGTGCTTTCATCTCAAGGACAAGATCCAGGCATTGATTGATGTAGGTGTCATAACCCCAAAGCCGTCCAAGAATGTCGGAGCCAATGTGGTGTCAATCAGCTTTAGATCAGTGCCCACAGCGTGGTTTGAACCAAAATGCATCCCCAAGGTAGGAATGAAGACAATAAATGACGACCCATACGGACAACGCCAGAAAGGACTTGTGCCACACACAGCCCCGAATGGTGAGATTCTTTGGGTTCATCCAGATTTGATTGGAGATGAACAATGGACTGGAGCCCTTTCCAAGAAAGAGTTAAAAGGAAAAGGTAAGTCTTGTTATGGAGCCTCGGCCATCCCAGAAGAAGACGACGAAACAATCCCTATCTTCTCGTTTCTTGATAATGAACATGCAACTCTTATAACCACCGGAGAACCAATACTCGCCACCAGAAACGAGAACGAGTATCGTTCCGAATATCCAAGTACCTCTGATCGACTAGCTGAGGTAGAGACGATTACAACACCTCCCGCACCTGCTGAGAAGACACAGCAGGAACACCTGCACCAAGGTGTTCAAAACCCGAGGCAGTCTCAATTCAATCAACAGTTTAGAAGAGACAGACCGGAAAATTCAAGGGCTTCATACCACTTCGATGTTATGACCCAATTGGCTAACATTCCAGTGAAAGTAACTCTACACGAGTTATCACGTCTTTCCAAAAACACTAGAGAAGCGTTCACCATTACTCCTGACCAGCTCACTCAAATAGTTCAAGAAGCGTTAATCAAGCAGAAAGAAGAATTTGAGAGTAAGATGGAATTGGCTATGCGACAAATAAGAGAGTTGCAAACTGAAAGGTGTAAATTTCCTAGATCTGATCAACAGGCTGGGTCTAGCTGTTGCGCCATACCAATCACGCCTATTCCAAACAAGACAAATGACAATGGTCCGAATCTGAATATGGTCATCAGGACTGATTCACCCCTCGATAACACTGGGGGTGGTACGATCACACCTTTCAATTACACTGGGGGTGGCCCAATTCCTATTTCTCGACATCACTCAAAGAAAAATGAAGATGAAGACGAAAAGCAGAAAGAAGTCGAGTCTGTCACCACCTCGACCAGACGCTATCACAAAAGAAAGAAAGTTGAGGAAAGCCAATCAGAGTTCATACCCAGGTTCGCTGATGATCAGACGTCACAACGACAACCATGGGAGCAATCGCCACAACAGTTGCTTCAGATGCAACGATACTCTTTCAAGGATACTGAGGTTCCAGCCATCCTCAAATACCTCCTGAAAAACAACAAAATTAAACTGCCACCTATTAAAAATCAGGAAGAAGCTAACAGGAGCTCAGACCCAAAATATTGTGGGTACCACAGGAGGGTTCTTCATTCCACTGAGGCTTGCAACATTCTCAAAAATACAATACAGGCCTTAGTTGAAGCCGGCGTCCCAATAGCAGGACAAACCGAATGAGAATGACCATCAACACTCCGAAGAGTATACGAGTATAAACTGCTTCTCAACACTCCGAAGAGTATACGAGTATAAACTGCTTCTCAACACTCCGAAGAGTATACGAGTATAAACTGCTTCTCAACACTCCGAAGAGTATACGAGTATAAACTGCTTCTCAATACTCCAAAGAGTATACGAGTATAAACTGCTTCTCAACACTCCGAAGAGTATACGAGTATAAACTGCTTCTC